TTGTACACTACTGGATTTCAGCCCAATGGCATGATGGTTAAAGTTTCTACTGTCAGATCGAAGGTTCATGGTTTGATTCCTAGCCATAGTAGTGTGTAAGTAACTACAGGTGTCTAGCCTTGAGATGAAATGGTCGTCCAGTGCCTTAAGATTTTGAATGGCTACCTAACATAAATCGGTTCATGATCTCAACAGAATTCAGCAGTTGTAATCCTTTTATTGATAAGAAAGATATTGCATTTGAGTATTATGGGGATGGTAGTTTCGCCTTCAAATCATGAATAAATAAATCATTGTTAGGCTACCATTAGAAACCTAGTTGCACTGAATGGCCGTTTCGTCCTAATATGGGACTCATCAGCAGTGTGCATCTACTCATCATTTCAAGGTAAGATTACAATCTCCATAATATGCTAATCAAAAAACAGAAAATGCGCTTACTAGTGACTAACGTGCCCAGTGGAGTTCAACCCTGTCAGATGTAGGCAGTAACTACCGAAGACAATGAATGAGGTTTAGCGAAATCCTTAGATTGATAAAAGTTAGGCATTAACGCCGCTGGACGCCAGTCCAGTGGTCCAGACGTTAGGCGTCAACTTGCTAAACCAAAGGTCCTAGGTTCGAATCCTGTGAGTTGCAGGAGTCGTTGGTGCTTACTGACACTGATGAGTCCCATACACTATGACGAAACGGCTGTTCAGTGCTTCCAAGTTACCAGTCGTGGTCGTCTAACAATGGCTTATTCATAATTTCAAGGTAAGAAAGATATGCTTTGAAATTTCATCAAGTTAAAAGATCAACATTCTTCACAACTAGATAGGACAGACAGATACAACGCAGAACTTCGTACGTAAGTACATCAGTTCAGCTTGCCATACCCCATCAGCAGAGAGACGCAAACGTCAGTTCAAATCCAAGAGTGATAGAGATAGTAGAAGTATTTGCAGCAATGGAGAAGATTAGGGAGCGAAGATATGATATATATCAGTGAGATAAGTTTAGAAGGAGAAAGGTAGAGTTCATGAGGAATTCAGAAGGTTAGAATTTGAGAGAGCTCAAAGAGTGGATGCACCTGCGCCATTGCAAACTATTCTGAGCCATGTCGTTCAAGGTCTCTAACTATTGCTGACTATCGTCTCGCGGACCCCAACCAGGTAGTCTACATCTACCAACATGACTCAGTTCACTTGTCGTCAGTGACTTCATGAATTTGTACCATGTTTTGGTTTGGCCGCCCCTATCTTTCTTCCAACCTACTCTTACACCACAAAACATAGTTCGTCGCGGCAGTCGATGGTTAAGCATACGTAACACATATCTCAACCACCTCAACTGATCAAGTTTCAATACTTCATCTATTGATTTGCCATCCCTACCTAGAACTTGTTTCTTAACGACAGCATTGCTTACTCGGTTCTCCTAGGATACAACTAGATACTAGAGCGCTAAATCAAAACAAATTTCTATCTAATCTCAAATTTCACACTGATGTGTATACACATCAACACGGCACTTATACACTGGTACTTTGTTTGTTAATCCTGTATACATACATATTTTTTTGTTTACAGCTGATCACATCAATTTTTTCAAGTATCATAGTGAGTCACATACTGTGTTTATTAGTAATAATCATAATCATACTAATATAATAATACTAGTAATAATAATAATAATAATGCATATCTGTAATACATTTTTAATTAGTAGTATTTTTACAATCTTAGCAAAAAAATATCCATCAACTAGAATTATTTTTTTTATTCAAATACACACAACTACATACAACTACATTTTCCTTTATTAATAATGAATAGGATAGATACACTTGAAAAAAGAGTAAAGTGTGTGCGCGTTATGAATAATTAATGTCCAAAATTTTATGCATTCGTTCAAAAAATGTATTCATTAATTAAGTAGAAAGTTAAATTTGTTCCAGCATGAAAGATTTTAGTAAGTTTATCTTTTTTTAAAATAGGCATATTCATAGTTAGAAGTTTGATAAATACTCGTTTTTTTTGTAAACTTGTGCCTGTAACTCCTCGTGGAGGATGGGCCGCCAATCAGGATTCTCCAACCTGCTCTGTCCTTGGCCTTCCTTCCAATTCTCTGCTTAGTGTTTTCTTTGTTCTACTGTGGTGTGAGCTACTTATAAGTAGTATATGACGTGAGTGTCAACGTAATGTCTGGTAGCAGAAGATGGGGGAAGATCAAGAAAGGAAGAGTTAGATAGAACACAATGGAATTTGTATGAAACGCATGAATAGTAGTGACAATGGATTGATGTTTTGCAACAGGAACAGTTCAGTTCGATAGGATGAACTGATATTTTGCAAATGAACAATTTACTATATGGTTTTCCTATTTTACTGAGTAACTCTGTAATTTTCATTAAATACAATTCGGTTGCCCCACCTGTGTTCTCGTGCACTACACTACAACTTCTCCGTTGTCTTTGAGGATTCCTAACGAGGGCTTGTCTCATGAAGCAGTTCTATGTTTTCTTCAGTGTGTGTCCGATCCACTTCCAACACTTCTTCCTGATTTCTTCCTCGGCTGGAATTTGGTAGGTTGTTGCTGATAGTTTCTGGTCAACGGAACCCAAGTATTTTGCATAGACAACTGATGATAAACACCTGTATCTTCTGGATGATTGCTTTCGTAGTTCTTTAAGTTCCCGCTCCATACAGTAGAACTGTTTTGACATTTGAATTGAAAATTGTGACTTTGGTATTGGTTGAAAAG